AGGCTGGCGTGGCGGGAGCCGCCGCCGGTGTCGGTGCAGGCGTGGCACCAGCGACAGGCGCGGCAGCGGGGGCGGGTGCCGGTGCCGGTGCAGCGCCTGGCGGAGGCGGCCTCACGCCATTGACAGGAGCAGGGGGGCGGACACCTGGTGCACCCGGCGCAGGAGGCCGCACGACACCAGGCTGGCCAGGCGGACGAACACCAGGTTGCCCAGGAACAGCTTGTCCTGGCGGACGAACACCGGGCTGGCCAGGGCGGACAGCGCCAGGGGCAGGAGGCCGTGCGCCGGGCGGACGAGCTCCAGGCTGACCAGGCTTTCCGTTCATTGGCTTCTTCAACGGAAGCGGAGGAACGACGCCCGTCTGCCAGATACGCTCAGCGACCCTCAGGTCGATATCCACACCAACGACGCGGATGTAACGGAGTAGTGCGCCGGCGTTGGGACCGACAGTGTTCACGTCGCCTCTCGCGTTCGCCACCTCGGCGATCATGCCAATGACCTTCGTAAGGTTCGCTCCGGGCGGGGCCGGGCCAGGCAAGGGTTTCGCTCCGGGTTTGGCAGGTGGGCGAACAGTGGCTGTACCAGGCGCGCCAGGCCTGGGAGGCGGAGGGCGTGCGCCGGGAGCTCCAGGGCGGACCGGCATGCCAGGCTTCTGACCCGCGGCCTTGGCCGCGGCAGCCTTTTGCGCCTGCTGCTTGTTCTTGTTAACCACCCATGCGGACAGCACGTCGACGGCACCTGCAGCACCGAGTAACTGCAGCTTGTCCACAATGTCGGAGGTCAGGTGGCCGAACGTCGTCTGGTCGAGGATGAGGTTCGTGCCGTCGCAGACGAACGGAAGCGGGTTGCCAGCCGAGTCGGTCTTGTCGATAACGGACTTGGCACGCAGCGCCGGAGTGACAGGCTGAATCGAGACGATAATCTTGGCCTTTGGCTGCAGCACACCGCGGTTCGCACTGACCACCTGAGGCTGGGCAGTGCCGGCTGGTATGGGACGGGCCATCGGCCGAGCCTGCATGCGGCCAGCGAGATGCTGATGCTTCGCCGCCTCGGCCAACGCCATCTCACGCTCGCGCTGCTTTCTAGCCCTCTCCTCGGCTCGCAGGCGCTCCTTCATGCGCTTTTCCTCGGCGTTCTTAGCCTTGCCTTCGGATTTGAGCGCATCACGGCGCTGCTTCTCCTCGAACAATGGTCCCTCCTCGGGATCCAAAATCCACACACTTCCCTTGCTTTCGGGGTCATCCTCGGGAATACGGGGAACCTTGAGGAACGCCTTGTTGAGAGACAGGTTGTGACGGATCGAGTTCTGCCATCCTGCCTCAGGATTGAGACGGAACCATTCCCATTCGCCGGCTACCCAGTTGCACACCTCTCCGAGCGTTCCTCGACCTCGAGGCAGATTGACGAGCGCGCGGTGAATGATGGTGGCAAACGTAGCTGTCGGCTTGAGCGGCGGAGGTCCGATGAAGAGCTTGCCGTCGAGACCAAGAATCTGCGACGGCGGATTACGCGGACCAGCACCTGACGGAGGAATAGGCACAGAGCACAGAATGTGGCCGGGGCGCGTAGGGTTCTCCTTGAGCTCCGAGATGTAGTATGGCTTTGGCGGTCCATCTGCCGCTTGCTGGGCGGCACGCTGTTGAGCAAGCGTTTGCCTCGGAGCGGCCTGTTGAGGTCGAACAGGCGGCCGAACCGCCGCTGGCGGGTGCGGCTGCGGCATGCCAGGGCGAACGCCAGGCGGAAGGGCGCCAGGAGTACCAGGAGCGCCCGGTGTTCCGGGAGCAGGCACGCCGTTGGGAGGGCGGATCGGCGGCCGCACCATGCCTGGGTGCATACCCGGAGGAGGCGGACGAGCAGAATTCGGGACTGCTCCAGGAGGAAGAGCGAGGCCCTGGGGACGAGGTGGCGGCGCACCAGGCTGACCGGGAGCTGGGGGGCGGACCTGTCCAGGCTGCGGCTGAGGCGGCTGGGCCATGGCAGCCGCAAGCGTTGGAGCTGCAGGGGGCGGCGGTGGTCGCACTGGTTGGGCAGGCTGTTGCTGCGCGGCAACAGCTGCTGCAAGGTTGACTGGAGGCGCTGGCTGAGGCGGAGCGGGGGGGCGGACGGGAGCCTGAGCCTGGGCTTGCGCCTGAGCTTGGGCAAGCGTCTGCGCCTGAGCCAAGTTGACGGGCTGAGGAGCCGGAGTCGGCGCAGGTTGCGTGGTGGTCGATGCTGCAGGAGATATTGATGCCGAGGAGACCGTCACAGGCGTGGCAGCCACCGGAGGTGTAGGCACATGGGTGGTGGCCGGCGTCGCTGAAGCGGGTGTTGATGTGGAAGCAGGAGTCGAGGCAGGAGCAGAAGCTGTTGCTGTGGCCTTCTTCTTCTTCGATTCCTTCTTCTTCTCCTCCTTGACCTTCTTCTTGGTCGGGGTCGCCTTGGGTTCTGGAGCGACTTCCTCGTCGACATCCATCTCCTCTTTCGGCTTCTGCATGGCGAGGGCGGGTGACTTGTAGCCCTTTCCGGCAACCTTGACCTTGGCTGGTGCCTTCCCTGCAACCTTCTTCTTGGGTGTAGTCGCCTCGACCTTGACCTCCACGCTATCCTTCTTCTTGGGCTTGGCCGGTTTCGGTTCAGGCTCCTTCTCCTCCTCCTCATCGCTAGAGAGCGACGAGAGATCGGATTCCTCATCGACCTTCTTTGTGCGCAACTTGATGACGGGGCGTTTCGGCTTCTCGTCGTCATCTGCGCTGCTCTCGTCGTCCGAGTCGTCACTGTTCCCGGACTCCCAGGAGTCGACCCACTCTGGGTCCGCAAACCGTCCATCGCCGAGGCCATAGTGATCAGTTGCAGCGAAAGCGTTGAAAGCCGGGACGCGAGCCGCCATGTTGGCGGCCGATGCTGGCCCAGGTCCAGCTTCGCCGAAGAACTCGGCATAGCCAACCTGGTCTGGAGGGAGGTTGTAGGGGTATGGCAGACTCTCGTAAGCGACCGAGTCCACTGGGACATCGAGAGCCGTTCCCATCGGCGGCGATCCCTCGGGAGAAGGAGGAAGGACGAAAGAAAAGATACGCGTCGCGATCTGGATTTGAGACCCTTGCTGAAGGGGAACCACTGTGCCCTTAACATAGTAGCGGTCGTCCACCCAGGCGCCGTTCCTGCCAAAGATCTCGAGGCAGAACTGGCCCATATCGGTGCGGTATTCGATCTTGGCGTGGTTTCGCGAGACCGACTTGAGTGGTCCGAGGTCAACGTCGACATGCTCGAGCGTGGATGCAAACTTCATCGGCGGCGGAGGCGGGGGAAGGGGGTCCACCACACCGCCGTTAAGTTCCAGGTTGATCTTCTCGAGCTCGGCCAGATCAGGCTTGATGTCGAGGCTCGCATCTGGCATCGCGACAGCGTCAGCCTCCACCTTGACCTCGGCGGGAGGAGCGGAACCCGCGGGCGTGCCGCTTCCGACTGATCCGGCAGGCATTCCGTCCAGAGGCGTGTTGATAACCAAGTTCTCCACTGTCGGGGTCTGAACTGCAGGCGTTCCCGAAGCTGAGGCTGAGCCAGCAGGTCCAGCAGAAGCCGGTCTTGAGGAACCGTCGGCTGCGACAGCATCTGGTGCTGGCGTCGAAGTCGCCGGCGCTTCGGGTGCCTCGACGGGCTCCGCCTTCACTTCCGCTTCTCCCATCGTGATGTCCGGCTCCACCGATGCGGATGGCTGAACAGCCATGGAAGCGGTGACTGATGGGGCGGCTGACGCTACGGGCGCAGCCGTATCCGTCATCACCACATCCCCACCATCCGGGGCGACAGCATCAGCTGGCGCTGGCGGCTCTAATGTTCCCACTCCAAGTCCGTCTAAAGGTAGACCGGTGACCGCCGCCACCGCACTCGCCGGCAGGTCGGCCAGAGCATCGATGTTGAATCCTTCCGGTAACCCCAAGTCCGCTAACGACAGATTCGCGTTGATCGTGCTGATCTCCGGGGAGTGATGTCCTAAGGGCGGGGTCTTCAGTATTCCTCCTCCGATATCCAAAGGAGCTGGTGGCGGGAGGGCGGGGACGGGAGGCGCGGGGGCCGGTGGGCGTTCCTGCACAAGTCAGCACGGTCCATTCAACATGCGCCGAAGCAATGTCCTCCAATCTCGTCATCTGGATCGCAATACTCTTCTCTGCAAGCGCCCTCGGTAGAGGCACTTCACAGCAGCCTCCACCTCGATGAACCCCATGATCACCTTCGCTTGAAGCCTCTTGATGGTCATCCTGCGCAGCGAGTGCGCCCTCGTGTTCCTCGCTCCAGCAGCGTCCTTCCAGTAGTCTACTCACGCAGTTGCGTCCGATGACCACGCTCAGTGTCCGCACATAGTAGGAGAATCCCGTAACGTCATCACCGAACTGGAGCTTGTAGTATGCAGGTTTTGGATCTGTTTTGCTCCTATCGACCGGCAGCGCTGCCAGGCTCGGGGCCGGCGGCTGCCATGGCCCAGACATTGTCTGCCCGAGGCCTCTTCTCTGAGGCCTAGATGAACGACGTTACGGCTCGTAGGATTGTTGTGATATAGGGTTGATTACGTTGGGGTAGCTGGAACGTGTGATAAGCTGAATTGTGGCAATCTATCTTGATGCGTTGGCGAGATGTTGCGGATACCGACAGAGACCGTAGCGGACGGTAGAGAAGTCGAGAAAGGATGGGGAAGGCGAGGATGGATCTGATGGCGCGAATCGGATGATGTTGATGCACTCGTCGTTGGGGGTTGAAGCTTTTGACGTCGTTCAGCCGTCGATCTCGATCGAGCGTCGGGAAGACCAGTATCACGCAGCTGGCCGTCTTCCCTTCCGGTCAGGACCAGGCAATGTCGAGCAAGCCGAAGGAGTTGGGTTTAGCAAGCGGTTGCTGGGGTGCGATATGCTTGGAGGAGGGTGGATGGCAAGATTCAACAACAAGCGGCCACCGGACGGGAGCAACCGGGTGGTACAGTGCGGTGAGGTGAGGTGTGAGACTCTGTTGACTGCTAAGGGACGTTAAGGGGTCTCCCACGTGAAAAATTGAAAAACTTTGCAGGCTGCTGGCTTAATCCGATGTCTGCCGGGCATTAGGACAAATCCTAATGTCGCTAATCGCAAGGCTCTGCCGCGGCCCTGCATTGCGCGTTAGTCACCCCTGAACCCTTCCTTGTACGCGTAAGATAAACGTGCAGAGAGCGCTGCATTCCATATGATACAGGTCCTATAGCTACAATGATGGCACAACATTATACGAAACTGACGGTCTATCTGTATTGAGAGCTGTGCAATGCAGTACGTGGCAGCTTCGTGCTGGGAAGTCGTGGTCGCGGAGTGGCCTCTTTCGAGTTGAGTGCCTCGTAAGCCTCGAACGCGTTGTTCAGCCACGTCGGGTCGTCTCCATAATCGCTGCTCGGGTCCACAGGGTCGCTTGACAGGACTTCAATCACTTGCAGACGGTGTACCTCCGCCTCCTCTCGCGCCCTCCGCTCGAGTCTCCTGCGCTTCTCCTCCAGAGTCGCCTCCAGGTGGCTGAGTACCTCCCGACCCTGAGCGCTCTCCTCTCGGAATGCGGCACGACCGTACTCGCCGCTCTGTCGGTGCGTGTCCATCGCCTTGGCGCGCGCGGCCTCCCTATCTGCCGCCGCTCCACCTTCCCACCCTTGATCCTGCATGATGAGCAGAATGGCAGCCTCCGGGACGAGGACGTGGATGATAAAGTCGGTGGAGCTCAGGGGTTGGATCTTGTCGGCGCGGAGCGTCAATAGCTTCCATTTGACAAGATGCTGGAAGTGGTGAATGATGATCGCGCGGCCCAAGTCCCCGTAGTAACCAGGTGTAGCCGTGGACAGCACCTCATCGCTGGATTGCGCAGTGAGCGACTGCCATCGCGTCAGACCAATGAGGTCAACATTCCTCTGAGCGCGTCGGAAGAACTTGGAGGTTGTCGGACTATTGGCGACACGCGCAATGCGATCGCGTATGAAGCCTTCTTCAAGGCGGCCGTCAATGCTCTCGAAATCAAGTTCTTTCGGGTAACCGGCTCGCCATCCGAGTGGCAAAGTCTTCGTCTCGGCGCGATGCATCGTGCAGAAAGTGATGCCCTGTGTTCTGTGGGCTCCGCGCTTCAGCTTTCTGCGCAGCTTCAACAGGTCGTTCGAGGGATGTTTGGGCATGGGGCCGAAGCAGATGTCGCACAGATCGTCATAGTTGCAGAAGCGCGCTCCTGGTAAGCTTGTAATCAAACAATCGTGACCCACCACAATACCGCTCCTCTTCCAGCTCATCGGCATCTGTCTCTTGGGAGAGCGAGACAGGTTTTGCGCTGGCGTTAGCTAGCATCTTCCTCCTGACTCACTCTATGGCTGCCTGAGCCCTGGCAATCCTCTCCTCCGTCTCAGCAATGTCGACTGTAGCCGTAGACGCAAAAAAGGACTCTCCTTGGAGGTTGTTGAGCTCAACACCTTTCAAGCTCACTTCCGTCTCCCTGTCCTCTTCCTCGAACCTCGCCGCGGCCAGCCGTCTCTCAGATTGCAACTTGGCCTTGATCTTGGAAGTCTCGGCACTGCGCGGGCTGTCTGGATTGTCCTCGGCTTGCTGTTCCAGATACCTGGCTCCTTCCTTGTCTCGCCGCGATTGCTTGTCCTTGACCGTGAACTTCTTGCTACCCGCAGCGACCCTCTCAGACTCATCGTCAGAGAATAGATCAGCGGGAGCAGCCTTCGTGGAGTTTCGCCTTCTATCTTTTCCTTGCTCCTTCTGCGGCCTTGTTGGCTTCACCTTCTTTCCAGAAGACTGAGCATCAGCTTTGGGCGGTCGTTCCATCGGAGTGTTGCTGATCGAGCTGCACGCAGACTTCTGCACCTGACTACGCTGCCGCGGCTCCCCATCGAATTTCTGCTTCGTCACAACGATACTGGTGCTAACAGTGGACTTGCGGCGAGCACGGGGTGATTCGCCAAACAGCTCTGCAGCCGGACGGGACGGCTCGACAGGGAGTTGGGTCGTGGCTTGAGGTTGATCTGAATGCGAACGGCCGATCTCGCCTTTCGACTTGCCACGGACTTTGGTCGGGCTAGCATCGAACGGAGGTCGGGTTGTCGGGATACGTTCGCGCCGCTTGCTTTTCGGCTTCGGGGTCGCCTCATCGGAGTGTGGGGTATTTGGATCCAGAATCGCCAGTGGTGGAGGTGACGATCCCTCCTCAAGGCCGTCGATTGGGTCCGGGGAAGACGAGCACAAGATGGATTGGGTTGATCGGGTTGATCGGGTTGACTGTACTGATCGCTTGGGTTTGGGCGTCTTCTGCGGATCCCGGGCGTCGGAATAGCGACTGGAAGCGGCTCCGTTGAGTCTTTTCTGGACGGTATTCAACGCCATGAACTTGGTCTCGCTCACGGAAGCCGCAGGTTGTGCAGTTGACTGGCTGTCCGAATCATTCTCAGTCTCTGAATTAAGGCGTCTTCTGGGGCGTCCATTTCCTTTGATTGTCGGCGAAACGGAAGAACGCGCACGCTTGCTCTTCCGTCTCGTATTGTTATTGTCTCCATCCTTGGTGGTGCGGTCGTTCCTGCCCTGTCGCTTGTCGACTTTCGAACGATAGAGTGGAGAGCTGGTCGTGGGAGGCGATGAGTGAACCGCTATCGCCTCCATCCTGCGCGCACACCCATGCGAGTGGCTGTGGATGTGTGGTTGAGGTCGCAAAGAAGTCAGAGAGATGACAACCTTGATGTGGTTGACGAATTCAGGAATCAGGCACATGGATTTCAGGCACTGAACGCGTCAACTATTTTGATGGTGGCGAAGGTCACCTCGCGTCGTCGGTTCGATCGTCAGCTGCGTCAGAGCATTCAGCGAACGCTGGACTGAATCAACGAGAGTGCTGTACGTCATGGAGACCTTTAGCACATAGTTATGCCACCGTTTTGAACAGCCCGAACTGCTCAGGCGCTTCTTGATCATGCCCTTGGTCGTTGTGGTGGACTGAACAAGCTCTGCTGGAGGTCTGAAAGTTCCTCACAGCAGAGTTCCCGAGCGCAATCACTTTTACAGCTTTTACAGCTCTCGACGTTGCTCCCAAGAGTTGAATGCTGTGCGTGATATTTCCTGTCTCTGCATGACCTGGAGCGGGGCTCTGGTGCCCGAGGCATAGGCCGTCGAGGGAGTGGAATCAACATGCCCAGCTGATGTGGAGACCCCGGATGCTCCGTGTCGCGGTGTGATCCCACTTAGGTGCGCGTGGTGCCCAGGGTGCCTATTGCCATACAACCATCCATCGCCCGCCTACTTCCGTCGAGTGCCACACGGCCGCTCAGCCAGCAATCGCTAACCCCGGCCACGAGAAAATTTGCTTCCGTCCAAATGCACTCTGCGACGCAGTGTCCCACAAAGTTATCGACAACGGCGAGCCAACTCCTTTCTTGCATCCATCAAAACCGACAGCCAAAATGAGCAAGCTCCAGGCGTCAAGCGTGCGTAGCTCTATCCGCCAGGTCCTCCTCGAGTCCTCCCTCGAGGGCCAGAAGCAGGGCCTCGGCAAGAAGCGTAACTTCGTCGAGACCATCGAGGTCCAGATCGGCCTCAAGGTGAGTAAATTTCTGCAATTCTTGTTCAGGCAGCGAAGCAGGCGCTAACTCTCCAGGCCTACGACCCCCAGCGTGACAAGCGTTTCTCGGGTACTATCAAGCTCCCCCACGTTCCCCGTCCCCGCATGCAGCTCTGCATTCTCGCCGACGCCATGGACGTTGACCGTGCTAAGCAGCTCGACGAGGAGCTTGCCTTCATGACCGTTGAGGACCTGAAGAAGCTCAACAAGAACAAGAAGCTCGTCAAGAAGCTCGCCGCCAAGTACGACGCTTTCCTTGCTTCCGAGGCTCTCATCAAGCAGATTCCTCGTCTCCTCGGTCCTGGTCTCTCCAAGGCCGGCAAGTTCCCCACCCCCGTCTCGCACTCTGAGGACCTCGCCCGCAAGGTCATCGACGTCAAGTCGACCATCAAGTTCCAGCTCAAGAAGGTCCTCTGTCTCGCCGTCGCTGTCGGCCACGTCGACATGCACGAGGACGAGGTCATGCAGAACACCATGCTGTCGATCAACTTCCTCATCTCGCTCCTCAAGAAGCAGTGGCAGAACATTGGCTCGCTCCACCTCAAGTCGACCATGGGCAAGCCTCAGCGTCTCTTCTAAGCGAGTCTTTTACTTTGGCTGCCGGGCCATCTGATGGACGTTTTGAATTTTTACGATTTTTCGAGTGACATGAAGTACACCAGCGCAGCCGGAGCATTCGCACGCTTATACCCAAGTCTCGTCTGACCCCTTAATTGGGTGCTCGGGGACCGAGGGGAGCTGGTTTTGTGTTTTGAGAAGATTGTGAGGGTTTGGAACGTCTATCTGTGTAGATTTTGGTAGTCATGTATGACCCCATAACAATACTGTGGTGCAAGTGCATTCGTGTACTTATACACTGATCAGTCGCGATGCTTCATAAGTTCTCCAGCCGGACCGTGATCGCATAGTTATCATACTGCTCATGCCACATGTAGATGGAGGTGAGTTCAGTGTGCTGGTAACCAGTCTCGACCGGTGCCCAGATGCACTGGTCTCGTGACTCGACGGATGCAGGCGTCCATAGCGTGCGCGGGCAAGAGATGATCCAGGTCTTCCATATACGACGGATGTGCCTGAAACCTGGTTAGCCGTGCGTCCTGAGGAAGACGGGGGTCTAGACGCAGTCCTGGTCAGGGCGCAGGCACGCAGGGGGGAAGTAACCGGGCCCAAGCGATCCACTCGTGCACGGAGCGTTCCTACCGATCCTCCAGACCCTCCGCTGCCCTCTGCCTGCGGCTGCCGCCTGTTGCCGTGCTGCCTGCTGCGCACAAAGGCAACGGCGCCAGTGCTCGGGCGGGGGAGTCCGACCGCTCTCCTCTGTTTCAAGGACTCGCTGCAGTGGTCGAGGCGCTGTCACTTCCTCCACTCTACCGTCCCGACGTCCCGACCGCACGAATCGCCTCGCCCAGACTGCTAGTCCAACCGTCAAACCCGTTGGGGAGGCTCGCATCGAACCGTAGATAACGCATCGACACACCGGCTTACCGAATCGACTCACCACCTCCTTCCTTCCACTCTCTGTCTCGACCTTGTAATTGCGCAACTTCGTCCTCTCGAATACCCGGTCACATCAAAGCTGAAACTGGCCCGTTCCAATCGTCCTTTTCCCCGCATACCGACCCAGGGATACCCCGCACTCAATCATTGATCTCTGCGACCCTCAAAGACCCATCGACTCGACTTGCTGGGAAAGGTTTATGCCCTCCTGTCCTCCGCCCAGCCAGTCTCCGAAGTCGGCTTCCCACAACGTTACCCTTTTCCCCGTCGCGTTTGACCGATCTCTTGGGTCCTGAGCTCCTGGGTTGTTTGCCTGTTTCCTGGATTTCGAGTCACGGACACACGACGAAAAGACATTGATCGCTTTTCCTTGGCCTGCGCCGGGCGGGTGCACCTTCCTCCGCGCCGATTTACAATTCAGCGATCCCAAACTTCTTCAGCACACACACACACATTCGTCACTCACTCAGACACCGCGACTCAGAAGCATAGCGCCGGACTCGCTACAATCCGTTGCTGACAAAGATATTATCTCATCGCAGCCCCCTTCGCAACCAAAAGACCGGGCCGCAGGGTGTCATCGGTGTCACTGGTGTCACCGAGCTCGGCTCCGGAATCCAGACGTCCAGTCAGCTATCGTTATCCGGGCTGTCGACATAAACACACAAGCAATCACATAACGACATACGACATTGCGACTCGAGTCACGGAAGCACGCAGAAGAACTCATAAAGCATGTCTTCGCTGCGATGGCCGCTGAGGCGCCGCCGCGACAACAGCGAAATGCGTTCCAGCTCGAGCTCGGGCTCAATGCCAGCCCCGCCGCCAGCGGCGCATACCGCTTCACACCCGTCGCAATCCCACTCCCATCCCCGACACCGCGAGAGCATCTCGAGCTTACCGTCTGTGGGCACAAGTTCCAGTCCGTCCCAACGGCGCACGTCGTCGCCGGCCATTGAACAGCTGCGCAACAGGACGAGACAAGGCTCCAGGGGCGACTCCATCAGCAGCTCGCCTAGTGCTCACAGTGCCAGCCAAGGCGAGAGCTATGATCGCCAAGCACGGACACGGGAACGGATGCAGACCAGCTCGGCGCCGGCTGCGATGCGCTCGGCAACACCACCGCCGTATGCACACCATACTCTCGACCGCGCGCCCCTCGCCAACCCCATGGTGCTCGACGACAGGCCCCGCGTCCCTCCCCCGATTTACCTGCGAAGCTCTAGTACGCAACCCCAGTCCAAGTCTGGGTCGGTCCAGATCCACATGCCCGGATGGTGAGTCTGCAGTCTGAGAGAGGCGACGACGTGGCGCAGTGGCGCCGGCGCAAGCCCCTCCGAGAAGCACACGCGTTGCGCAGAAGCATGGGGAGAAAACATTGGCTGCTGTCCAATGTTTGTACCGTGTACCATGCGTTCCAACATTCGGACGTCCCGATCGGGAATGCCAGGGTTACTTACTCTCCTGACGCATACGAGTCGGTGACGCTTGTCGATCGGCGTCATCCGATGATATCCTTTTGCTAGGTTTTGGGACAGAGCTGACTTTACTTTCAGGGGCATCGCACTAGTGTGTCCGCCGCGGCCATTCGACTTGCACCCCCTCGAAGCGGGAAGTGCTTCTCGCGAGCCCCCCGCGGAGGACACTGTTTTGACGGGCGCTCTCGTGGTGAACATGAAGGAGAGGCGGCGTGTGCAGGCGATCAGCGTGGGAGTGCAGGGCGTGGCGCGGTTGCACATGGGCCCGCAGCGGCAGTGGGAGGAGGATGGAATCTTTGAGCGAGGCGTTGAGGTGCTCAGCGGAGATGCGGAGGGAATCTGGCTCGAGAAGGGCGAGCAGTCGTTCTCGTTCTCCATCTTGCTTCCTGCGACGCTGGCGACGTATGACCACCACCAGTTCGGTCGTGTGTCATATCTCCTGACGGCGCGCATCGAGGGCCTGCCGACGTCGAGCAAGTTTGGCATGTTCAAGTCGCGCGATGTGCCGATCCAGGGCGATGTGCCGTTCCTCGCCGACTTCCAGGTCGTCATCGCGCGCAGTGACAAGATCTCGGGCGGCGGTAGTCGGCGCGGGAGCGTTACCTCGCGCAACGGCGACTCGCCAACACTCTCACCGCTCATGTCTGGCATGGGCATCAGCGACACGGCCAGCGTGCACAGCGCAGAGGAGGCGATTGCATTTGGCTCTGACGCAAACTCGACCCCTCCATTGCGTGGGCTGTACCACAGACGCCAGAGCAGCGACATGAACATGTCGCCCAACGCTTCGCCGAGCGCCTTGCCCACCGGCGCGGCATCCCCGCCCTACACCGCCATTCCTCCGAATGTGAGGCGGGACAGCGACACCATTTCCTTGGCATCGAGTATCAGGTCGACCGACACGACGCGGAGCGAGAAGAACGGTTGGCTCGTCGGCGACATCTCCGTCTTGCGAAAACTCAAGGTTCACGCGAACCCTTCTGGCTCGAACGGAGTGCAGCAGCTGGACCTCCGGAAGGAGGGTTACGTCGAGGGCCTGGGCCCGTGGCGCTTCCTAGCGACGAGCGAAGCTCTGTCCATCGCGAGCGTCATGCTGATCCAGCTGAACATCCCCTCGCCGTCGCCGCGCTGCACCATCTTCTTTGTCCGCCTGATCGTGTCGCAGAGCTATGAGCTGATCTCACCGCGCACGCCGAACGAGCCTCCCCACAAACCCGAGGCCGCCAAGAACAATGTTGTCTACCAAGTCGGCCGACCCCACCGTCACGGCGAGAGCCGACTCGCGCACACGATTCCGGCACTGTGGCGCGGCAAGGAGGCGGGTGGTACTGACCAGACTGGCCCGTCGACTGGCTGGCGTACTCGTGCCATTGTCAGGTTGCCGACGCACGAAAAGATACGCCCGTCGACCAACTCGGGGTAAGTTAGCTAACATCAAGATGGCGTAGCTGACATCCAGTACGATCACACCCATTCGCGTCAGCCACGAGCTGCTCCTCCGCGTCTTCTACAGCATCGAGGGCGAGGCAGTCAACGGCTCCAAGCTCTCAGGCGGTCCAGGCGAGGTACGCATGTGTCAGATGCGCATGCCGATCTGCATCCCCTCCTGCCTCTGTTCGACCGCGACGCTGAACCTGCCGACGTGTGAGTGTCCTTCGCTTCTCAGCTTCATGTTTGCGATCCCCTCAGCTGACATCAGACGAATGCGCCGCGACAGCTCCAGAGAGCATGGAGGACATCGATCCCGCCAAGACGTGTCTCTGTGCGGCGAGCTTTGCAGAGCTCAGCGCCAACTGCGTCCGCCGTCCCCAGGCTGGAGACGAGGAGGACGAGTGGATCCGGGATGAGCAGCAGCCGGCCCCTATGCCGGGCAGCAAGGCCGGCAGTCCGAGCATGAGCCCGAGTACGAGCGCAACGAGCCCCGGCACGGGGCCGAGTATGAGTCCGATGAGTCCGCTCAGCCCATTGAGCCCGCCGGCGCCGCAAGGAAGCACGCGCAGGCCGAGCTAGCGCGCCACAGCGGAGACGGAGCGACGGAGCGCCCTTCATGCCACAGCAAACAGACACACCAGAGCACCAAAGCAACAAGTCACTTTTAGCATAAATGCAAGCAGCAAATGTAGATGAAAAAATGCATTTTTACATACTTAGAGCTCGCCGTCACGGTCGCCGCGCTCGAACCGGCCTTCGTCAAAGTATCGCACCCGCTGGGCGTCAGCTCAAACAACCAACAGCTCCTCGGAGTGTTGTGACTCACCACTGGTCGGCCGTCAAGCTCCGTCGTCCCCGTGACAAAGCGGTACGCTCCGGCCATACCAGAGAACACGACGAAGACGCGGAGACACTCCCTCTCATCAGCAGGCGGCGGGTCGACGAGATGGAGCACGATGCGCTCGACGATCCCCACATCGCTGGCCCTCTCGCCAACTGTCTCAACAAGGCCGTCCGGGACCACGTCCGGCCCCTGCCCCAATCCCTCGATGACCGCAATCCTCGACTCGTCCCCGAACCTCTCGCGCGAGACGGCCTGGCGGCCCACACGGTCTTGGTCGATAATCCGGCCACGCGCGTTCGGTGCTTGTTTCCACTTCGTACTGGCCGCGCGCGCGGCGGCCTTGGCCCGCGCCCGCTTTGAGAGGTTGGCCGAGGCCAGGTTTGAGGAAGTAGTAGAGGGCTGGAAATGTTCCGCCGACAGGGCCGAGGTCAGGCCGCCCTCCTTCAGTGCTTGGCCAGAGACGTGGCCCCATTTCTTCATCACTTGGTTGTCAGCTTTAGATCTTGGCAAGCTTGCAGCTAGGCGGGGAGTATGGGGCAAGAG